ATATATCAGCTTAATCATCGTTCCTCAGCATGAGTTGATTTTTTTTGTCATATTGACCAATTGGTAAAGATAACAAAAACCAAATGTAGATTATTGGATTTCGTAAGTAAGGTTATGAAAACAGAGTGTGTGTTTACATCAAAATCAGAAGAAATGAATACCGTAGAGCATCTCTTAGGTCATCGAGAAATCCAGTTGAACTAGAAAAAACTTGAAAAATCATCAGATATAGGTCTACACGCTATAGAGTCCGGCGTAAAAATTAATTTTGACAATATTGAGGGAGAGATTGATAACAGACGCTTTGTTTATCGAATCAACTGCAAACCAACGCGTGCAATAGGAATGATTCAACACCTGTCCAGACAGATATCTGAAAAATTCTACTACCCCTACGACAAATAGGAGAGAACAAAGAAAATTATAAAACTCAAGTTTCGAAGTCGTGTGACTATAATTGATGATATGATTATGAATAATAAATTTTATCCGAAACGTCATCCAGGAAATTATATTGTTTCACTGTATGATACATCTAGTAAGCAAACTAATATGGAATTTTCAAGTATTGGTTTTGTAGGGATTTTGTTTGATTGCATGGAGGATTTAATCATGAGCTGACATTAGTTAGAGAACCACTGGAAAACCAGCTCGGAGTACTGGACAGCTGTTTCGTCCTAGTTTGGGACTCTTCAGCAGTACGCACCCACACTAAAGGGTTTGAACCCAGGACCCTCTGGTTACAAGTCGAGCTCGTAGACCATATAGCAAATGGGACTCGATCCAATGGTCCTTGAATTCTAACTTCTGCCAATTCACGACATAGCCTTGTAACCAGAAGGGCCTGGGTTCGAATCCCGGTGGGTGCGTACTGATGAAGAGTCCCAAATTAGGACGAAACAGCTGTCTAGTACTCCCAGGTTTTCCAGTGGTTCTCTAACTAATGTCAGCTCATGATTAAATCCTCCATGTAATACGGAATTACTTACTACCACAATGCTCAAGTTTTACACATTTATTGAAATAACACAAAGAACGTCTAATATCATTAGAAGCACCTAATGGAATCAAATGTAATCCAAATTGCCTGAATAAGAATGACAGATTAAAACAGAATTCGACGTGCATGCAACAGCCTTCTCTTTCCCATGAAATGACAAAATCAACACGAATGTGATAAGGAATTTCATCATGTAAACACACATGCTGGTTGTATAATTTTACACACAAATTTTACACAAATCCAAAATTCTACACCTGGGTTTGTTATCTTTGCCAATTGACTTATTTGACAACGAAAAATGACCCTATACTGAGGAACGATGGTTAAGTTGTTACATATATAAGCTGGGTGAATTTTGTAAATTCTGGTTTAACAATACTTTGATAAAGCTATTAGTATTAAATAGAGAAACGTCAGTAAAAACACGAAAATATCGTTTTGTTTTTCATTCATTGGGAAATAAAGAAAACCTTTATTATAATGAATATCATATACTGTTATAAGCGTACTTGGTTTGGACAAATCTAGTGGAAAGCTTAACTTGAAAACGAAAAGTAGTATACACGGTGCAATGTATTTTCAATTACTATCACTACTGAAAAATGACAAGCCTTCAACTTACTTTATTCTCACACCCAGCTACATGGTCTCTGCTGACCACGACTTTATCTTGTAATCAGTTCTTAGAGAGCTACAAATTGATTTCCAAGAGTAACTTTGCCACCATTTGATTTGTTATAAGTTTATTCATGAACTGACTTCAGTGAGAGAACCAGTGTAATCCATCATAGAGTACTGAACATCTGTTTTCGTCCTTGTTTATGACTGTTCAATAGTACGCAACCATGACCCAACCTAGTATAGATCGAGTGTAGAACCCCCGAATTGCAAAGACACCTCGTTAATTATTGAACTACTGAGATAAAATCAGATGGCCCACTAATTTTAACTTCTAACAACTAGCAATTTTCATCGCTGTCTCTGGCCGATGTCATCGGCGAGTACTCGTTCTTATACCCAACCTGGTAGACCACAGTCACTAATTAGTACAAGACCAATTTTCTAGAAATATTTTTAGCAAGGATTTGATTGATTTCAAGATTGGCAATAAGGGAACCATTGAAAACCACGGGTGAGTGGATATATGTTTCATCCCTACTTGGGACTATTTGTCGCCACATACACACGACCTCACCCACAAGGTATCTCATTCAAAGCCTTTAGGTAATCACGAGTCAAACAAACACTTGTAGATAGAATTTAACTGGTGGGTGGTGACTAGCAGTGGAATTTAGCATGCGCATTTCATCCTATTTCGGTCTCGCAAATTATTCTAGTGCTTACTAGTGACTGACCATGCAATGAAGTTGCCTGAATTGTTAGCCAAACAATCATGACTGCTCAAGAGGAAGACAAGCTGCTTAGCTGTACCACTTCTATGTGTATTGACAAATTAAGCTGCTTCTAGGGATAAGGCTGTATATAGGGCAGACAATTATACAGCTCAACAAACATGCAGCTGAGCATCTTCCTTTTTGGTTTGGAAAAGGTCAAGTCACATCTGTACGAAGTTCTATTTCCTCTGATTTGACTGATGATAGTGGTGAGTATCGCCACCTGCCACTTAGAATGCCCAGGTTCGATTCCCGGCCGAGGAGCTGGCTTTGTGTACGTCGGTATCACAGCGGTTAGGACGCTCGCCAACCATGCAAATGGTCCAGTGTTCGGGTCCTGTGCCGACGCATACCTGATGTCAACGGTCGTCCTGCGAAATTTGGACTGCCGATATCACATGCTGAAAATTCCATACTTGCACCAAAATTACTGTGTGAAATCAAGCTGTAATCAAAATCAAATTAAGTTATGACCAGCGGAGTTCACGAAGCTGGGCGGGGGGACAGATATTCACTAATAACAGTGCACAACATGGCTACAAACCAGTTAGAATCATAGGGCTGACCACTGAAATCTTTTCCAGTGACTAAATGCTCGATGAGCCTGCCCTGTAAACAAAAGATACTGGGTGTTCAGCTACTAGTAGGCAGGATCACTAGTGCGTACTGATGAAGATTCCCTTACACGGGTTGAGACATTTGTCTAACACCCCCTGGTGTTCATTGTTTTTTCTGGCTTAAGTCACTTTGCGATCAGACTTTATAACCAGTCAAATTACTACAAACTAACACTTTACAGTTATCGGTGTTACCGTTTATATTTCAAAAATGAAATTCAGACGCAGTCATTAGGATTATAATACTGATCGATTCTATTGATATCTCTGTTATTGCGTTACACTTTAGTTTCTTAAAACTTAAAAGTATTCCAAAGTGAAATCTCACTTCTTCCTCTTCCTACTCCCTCTGACTATCCTTCTGTCGGTCTCTTACTCTTTGCCCCTTCCCCTCTCACTGTTTCTTTCTCTGTCCTCCTCTGGTACATAATAATGTGTGTAGTCAGACAAAACAACTAGTTTCTCTTTATACCAGAGTATTTTTCGCTGTAATGTATGTGAATATGTATTGAACAGCTGATTTCATTCATGATAAATTCTAATGATATGATGCCATCTAAGAATAATGATAACAATGTCGGATTATTATTCTATGTTCACTTTTAAATTACTAAGCGGTGTTCATCCATGTGCATGCAACCATTCATACACATATATATATACATGCAAACAAATAGCTATTTGATAATTGCGTCATTAAGTCCATTAATGTATTATGGGAAACATAATGAATAGACTAATGCACAAGCCTACCTACTTATGTGTTGGCATAAAATCCTCATACATATATATTCATACGTATATATCAGCCGATATAGTACTTTGTGTAATTCCCACTTAGACAACTTACACAAATACAGTTAGTTGGGAATACTATTATATTACCTATCTACATCGATACATGTATGTGAACTATAGTGTGCTTTCAATTAGAAAACAGAAAGATTGAGAGAAGAAATATTTATCTTTCATTGCATTGAGGATTTCATCATGAGCTGACATTAGTCAGAGAACCATTGGATAACTTGCTGGGAGTACTGGACAGCTGTATGGTCAGCCTAGTTTGGGACTCTCCGGCAATACTCACCCACTGGGGTTTGAACTAAGGATCTCCTGGTTACAAGGCAACCTCGTAGACAATTTAGCCACTTGAACCCGATCCAGCAGCCAATCCATGAATTCTGACTTTTACCGATTTATGGCATAGTGCGACCTTTTGTTCTTCTTCTTCTTCGAAGAGTTACTGCCTCACATTCAACCTGCTGTATCCTACTGGTCATGACTTCCGAAAAGAATCCCAGGTCACACTGCCTACCTGAATACGGCCAGTCGCTAGTGAGCATCAGATTAATTTTAAAGTATTGATTTTGTGGAAATTTTGTTTGATTGACTGGAGGATTTTATTATCAGCTGACATCAGCTAGAGAGTCATTGGAAAAGTAACTGGGAGTACTGAACAGCTGTTTTGTCAGCCCGGGTTTGGGACTCAAGATGAGCTCGACCCGGTAACCAGGAGGTCCTGAGTTCGAAACCCCAACGGGTTGGGTGCGTAGTACTGTGGAGCCTCACACTAGGCTCACGAAACATCCGGCTGTCCAGTACTCCTAGCTGGTTTTTCAATGGCTTCCTAACTGATGTCAGCTCATGATGTAATCCTCTAGCTGATCAAACAAAATCCTTACAAAACTAATACTTGAAAATCAATGAATTCTAACTTTTTTCAATTCGTGATTTCATCACCACCACCATCCAGCTAGTGTCATTAGAGGCAAGTATATGTCTACACTACCAATTGGGTGGACCACACTGGTCAAACCTTCTCATTAGAACTCCATGCAACTTTATTATCATCCTATAGACAGTCACTAGCGAGCGTGGGATTAATTTTCAAAAGTTTGTCTGTAGAGGGATTTGATTTGTTTAACGCGCTAAATGAAAATGTATCTCTTACTGATTCCCTTTTTTTAAATATACTTTGAATTTTAGGTGTTATAATTCGCCTAATTATCCGTGGGAGAAAAAATCCTAAAAAATGCCATCATTACCATATGTATATACATCACCAAATGCAAAATTTACAGACTACCAGTCACAGCGTTCAATAAAACGAAAACGAGCTGTTTACGAACAGTTGGATGTGGACAGTTCCCTGGTCTTCGATAATGATACCTACCATGCATCGCCAACAACTCCTTATATGATGGATAATATCACTAAAGAAGAGAGAAGTAATACCACTACTACTACTACAGTAGGTGAGATAAACACAACGACAACAGATACTGTGGAACTGGAACAAACCTCTGCTCCTACTAACACATCAGTAGCAATGAATGAAACTGTGAGTGAAACGACAGATATCAACAGAGGAAAACACTCAGCTTCCATGAATGCTACTACTACGACAACCACAACCAATGGTCGAACGATGACACCACAAATGACTACTACTACTACCACTACTACAGCTGCCATCACTAAACTTCCTACAAGACTGGATGAAAGCGAACGATATTCGCCATGGTCAACATCACCAGGTCATCGTATATCCCGTATAGGTGATAGTGATTATGAAACTGCCTTTCAGCCTTTTTCAGCTCCAGTCGATATAACGCATACTAAAAGTGGTCAGGCTACACTGAAACATCAACAGATATTAAGAAGGCAGGCTGAAAAATCAAATTATGGTGGATGTAAGTCAATTTTTTTAAAATTTATTGATTTTATCGATCATCTTTGCGATATTTTAATAATACTTAATGCATAAAGCTATATACTACTGACTGTTTGAAATGAGTAATTGTATGTCACCCATATCAACTGGTAGTGCTCGCTATCTTGCTGGTATCAAGCAGATCCCATCCACTGGGATAAGAATGATTTCGTTTCTAAAGCAAACTGTGAAAAATTCATCTGTCTAACTGATATACATTAAGTAATTGGTAGTAGGTAATTCCGTTTTCATTTGTTCATCGAATATATCACACAGTAAGTGAAACCGTATGATTTACTCGAAGACAGGTTTTCAGATACGACTGCTCTCTTATTCATTTGCGTTTCCAGTGGAACATGGGGCTGTTTCAAGCTGGAGCTTTGAAGTTTCCGCAGCAATGGTGTTTATTTTTACAGAATGGGTTTGCTAGTCTCACGCCCATGCTTCCCTCTTTACGTGGCTTTCTATTAGCTAAGCGAGATTTGGGAATGCGTTTGCCGGTGTGGTGAGAGCAGGCTGCTAGCCGATTGGTTGGCACTAATCTACGTTAAGGTCTAGGTCACTAATATGGGCCGTGAACAAGGCTGAGTCAACAACCAATCACAGCGAAGTTAACGTGGCAAAATATGATTCGCAGATAGAGAACTCTGTTTGTCAAGGAATCCCGAAACAACCAATCAGAAGCCTGCGTTTGTCTACCTAAACAACCAATCAGATGACTGCGCTTGTCTATAATAATGTAGTTGAAAGATGTATAAATACGTGTTGATTTTCATAATAAAACGATCTGTTGCCTGGCCCTTGTCTTCTGTTGTTACATTTGGTGTCGCTGCCTACCGACAAATGAAAAGCCTAGTTGAACACTTCTCATATCAGACCTAAGAGAACTAAATACCGGATGGCCACTTCACTTATTTGGGGCTAAACTCGTCATCTGAATACCATATTATATTTAGCTCAGATGGCCCCGTTATTTCAACCCACCTGAATTCTGCCTAGCTACTTCGGGAGAACTGTTAATACATAAAATTGTTATTTGAACTCCAAGTAGATTGGTAACAGGATTTCATCATGACTTACTTTACTTTACTTCGGCTATCTCCTACGGGAGGATGAGCCGGCTTCATCAGCAAGAGAGTTCATGAAGTTTCATGGGAATTTGGTACGAGTGATGTCCCCAGCATCGCTCGGCCTTTTGTTTGAGAGTGCAGCTCTAGCCTTTACACAACCAAGTGTGACCTACAAGGCAGTAGGAGTGGAGTAAGGAGTCCACTATCCATTGGCAGCCGGTGACCGGAGTTCGGTTCATACGCCTTTTTGAATGGGGCCAGACATCCAGGACATCCAACAAGCCATTTGTCCATACGTCTGCCGGTGAGCTTCTTACGCCAGTCGTTGGAGGTTTGGAATCAGGGTTTAGCCATCTCCCCTAGACTGTCATCCAATGGACAGTCAACCCGGTGGAGAGCGCCGGGCATCCGCTTTCGCCCTCTCACTTTGGTGAGAAACACCTCCGCCACGTGAAGGCAGTGAGTAGGACTTCCTCAGGAGAGGCTATGTAAGACGCCCAGTCATATGGGAGCATTTCAGTAGGTGTACGGAGGGGTGGCCAACCCGCAGCGCAAGGCACCCACCCCCGACCATCCTGAGGCTTTGGAGGCCTTCTTCTCGTGACACGCCAGCCAAGTCCCTGAGCCATTTGGAAGTACTGACTCGCCATTTGTTTTGACAACCCGTACTTTGTTCTTTATGCAGAGCTCAGCAGATGTCCAAACTGATTTCACAGTTATGAAGGTGCGCCTGGTTTTCACGTCTTTATCCGTTCTAATTGCCCGTGGTTGAAACCAAGCTTCCTAGATAAGTGAATCCAAGAGGTAACCTCTGCCAAATCTCTCCGATTGATGGTAATTCATGCCCGTTGTTGTTTTTGTTGCTGTGTTTCGTTAGTTATCGTCTTCATCACCGTCTTCTCCATGTTCACCTAAATTCCTGTCCTAGCTGCCTGCTACCTCAGTCACTTAGTTTGCTTTTGCCTGCAAGTCTTCGAATTCGTGTGACATTAAACATAAATCATCTGCGAAATCCAGATCCTAAAGATGAAGTCTTTTTATAGGTTCTCACACACCCCCACAGCTTGACGCATAATCCAATTGACCACAATTAAGAATGTTATAGGTGATAACCCTATCTTACCTGTGTATTCACTTCAGTCGCCTCCTTGAATTTTCTGTCGTTTATCGCCTGACAGGTCCCTTTGTCGCATGGCCATTAAATGGGTGGGGTTGATTAAGATTTGGGCATTGCACACAATAGTGTTGACGTAGTTTCCAAATTACTTCTTGTCCAACGCTGTCTGTCGAAGGCGCTTTCAAAGTCAATGAAATTGAGGTAGTGATTTGAACACCTATTAAATGCTAATCGATAAAATAAATTATTTAGTTTAATGGGATAGCCAGGACTCCTCAACCCAAGTCATCGTTTCATAAGTAGGTTTTTGGGTTTAAATATCACTTTCATTCTTGCTTTGTTAAGAATTCTATGTGAGGCGTAAGAGATCCCTTTTCTTGTATAGAAGCACCAAGGATGATTTAAATCCCTTATCGTTGGTGTTATCATCTCTCTGTGTAAGTCTGTGTGTCTCTGTGTGTCGCCATGGTTAATATTATTATTAATTTTAGTTTCACAATTTTCTCCATACTTCCTAATTAATTTATCAAGGTAATTATTAATTTTCAAAGCTTCTTTTATGTGACTTAATTCCAGCCTAAGATAAAGTGAACTATAAACTCAAGTTACGAAGGTTTTTTTTTCCTTCACGTTCCCAGTGGAGCATAGGGCTTCAAGCTGGTGGCTTAAAGTTTCTGTGGTAGTGTTAATTTTGTTGGATGGGGTTTCTAGCCTCATGCCCAACCTTCTCTCTTTACCAGCATTATTTCTGACTAGAGGGGCAAACGAGTGCATCGGCCGGCATGGTCGGCGAGCGTCCTAATCACTTTACCACCGACGCACAAGTTCCAAAGTTATTTAGTTATAATTGTTATAATAATGAACTTCATTCAGTAGATAGCATAGAGTTTCGCACCTCTATAATATAGCCGTGTCTGCAGCTTGATTCATTCTTTCGACTATTTCCGTGAATCCGTCACCTCAGTTATACTGTACCTCCACCCAATGACTTGCCATATTATATCAAATTGGTGAGCAAAGAGATGGGGGAATTTGCATTGAAGATTGGTTTTTCCATTGTCCGTTTGTTATATTTTCTTCAGTAGTCAAATCTTCCAGATCGGATTTGGCAGTTTAGCGTTGGGAGTGTGCAAAGACTCCATTATGAATAAACTTTATTTTTATGAAGTCTCACAGTGTGTTTTACAGTAAAATTCACTGATGACCACGTTTCGAGCACAATTTATTACTGCTCATAATAGTAATAAGTCATTCACACAACTCTCTTGCTTCATTTACATACATGAGTCTGTCTGTCTGGATTCAACATAGAACTTGGCACTGAAGTGCAGCAGTTCGAGTTGCTACCTTCCAAATAGCACACAGAGGTAGACAAGAAGATGGGTGAAGAGAATCAATAGAGTTTCACAAGTATAAGAGTGAAACATAATGGGTAATGGTAGAAAGGAATATGAAAGATTACAGAGACTGAATGCATCTGCGCTGGCCATTGACAACGATTTTGAGCCATGTCACCTATTGTCTCCAGCCATTGATTCCTAGAGTCCCGAGGGCCCCAACCCGGAAGTCTACATTTCTCTACCTGACTCAGTTTAACTGTCAAGGATTTCATGGATTGATGAGGTCATGTTTTTGTTTAGCCACCACTTGCTCTTTTCCAACTTGCACCTATATGAGCTAGTAATGCCCGTCACGGGGGGGGGCGATGGCTAGGCATGCGCAGCACGTCACCAAGCCATATCAATCTATGTAACTTTATAGCCTCGTCGATTGATTTTCCCTCTTTTCCTGCCCAACACTCTACGCCTAACGTCAACATTACTTACCTTATTATATCACCTAACGTGAGAAAGAGATCGCAGACATCTATGACCGAAAGCAGTCAACCTTTCCATGTCATCAACTCGTATTGGCCATGTCTCAGAGCCATAGAGAAGGACGAGCGAAGTGCTGAGCAGTACACACGTGCCTTTGTTGTGATAGCCAGATGTGACGCTTACGCCAGAGATGGTATAAGTTAGCGAAAGCAGCTCGAGATTTTCGAATCCGTGCTGAGATTTCATCGCCAATCAGTCTGGTGGTGCTGATAAAACTTCCCAAATAGGTGAAGTGGTCACAATATGTTCTATCACTTCACTCCCTATCACTAAGCTAGGAGTTGACGTAATGCAGTCCTGTAGCAGCATCTTACATTTAACATGAGTAAAAATTGGTGATTAGACATTCGATTAAAATCAGTAATATAAGATAAAGCACGTCGGGAAATAATAATATTAGTGTTATCAGTCGAATACAGTCAGATGGGAAATAAGATGTTTTTATAGTAAATTAAATAAATAGTAGGGAATAACTTGTTAGAATGTTATTATTTGTGAATTGAAATACACTTTAGCATCGGGTCCCAATAGCTTAATGGCATACGAGCTCACCTTGTAACCAGAAGGTCCTGGGTTCGAACCCCGGTGGGTGCGTACTGTGAAGAGTCCTAAACTAGGACGAAACAGATGTTCAGTACTCCCAGGTTTTCCAATGGTTCTCTAACTCATGTCAGCTCATGATAAAATCCTGTAACCAATCAACCAAATCCCTACAAATCAATGCTTGAACACTTTAGCATTATTTATTGTCTTCTGATTTGACAGGTGGTAGTTATATATTCCACATGTCTGCCATCAACAGCTTTACCATATAAGGAGGGGACATCTGAGACACTGCCTCCATAGGATTCTGGATAAAGCAAGAATTGTGGTGGCATTCAAACCCACAAACTCACTCAGGTTGGACAAGCTCTGT